GTCTCACTGCCTTATGATAATATTTATATAACACATCATGAGACATCCGCTATAATTGAACATGTACCTATTATTACATACACATAAATACTTATAAATATGTTGTTTGTTTGTTTTTTTTCTTGGGACAATTAAAAAAATGTGATTGTTAGCAACTGTTGTACTTTGTTGTACTTTATGTGTATGTTATATGTTTGTTGGATGTAAATAATTAAGAGAGTCGTTTGATTCAAAACGTGTATTTTTTTTTTTTTTTTTTTTAAAGTCAATACAAGTCTAGAATTCTGTATTCCATTTTGTTTTTTAAGATACTGAAGTGGTTGGTTGTAGAGTGTGCCCGTTGGTTGTGGGTCTTGAGTTTCCCTCAGAAAGTATCCTGTTATCGTTCCTCGAGTGTCAATGTGTATGTTTCTAATAACTCTCTCCAATGTTAGGTTAAAGAGCATACAAGACAGTGAGTCTCCCTGTCTTAGGCCTCGTCTAATATGAAATTCCCTTGAATATTCTCCTTGAATCTTGATTTTGCTTATATATTATAAGGGGTTATTATCCCCTTCTATTTGTTAATCCTCTGTTTTATGTCGTCACCCCCCACACAGTCTAGTGCTGCAGTATCTACAAGAACAGGCCAGAAAACTCCCGAGTGAGGAGAAGAGACGCGAAGAAGAACGACTTGCAGAGGAGAGGCGTAGGCTGGTGTGGTTCTGGAGGTACTACGGCTCCGTGTACAGGCGCGATGACAAATAGTTCTGTTTCATCGATTATAATATCTACTTTTTGGAAGGAGGAAAATGTAGTCCCCGGCTACTCGAAAGCTCATCGAACGAGAATCTCCGACCATCGCCAACCAATGAAATCCATGTTTTGTGTTTAAACCCATTTATGTCTCCATGACATGTGTCATCTACTTACCTCATTTATACGCATGGGCGCCCGCAGAAAACTTTCTGGGGGGGGGGGGCAAAAAAAATCGATTAGCTTTTTTTTTTTTTTTTTTTTTTTTTTTTTTTTTTTTTTTTTTATTTTTTTTTTTTTTTTTTTTTTTTTCAAGCGTGTTTTTTTTTTTTTTTTTTTTTTAAAGTCAATACAAGTCTAGAATTCTGTATTCCATTATGTTTTTGTATATCACCAACTGATTCTATATTTTAAACCATCATATCAAATTGTATTGCCAGCTATTTAAGAGAAAGCCTAGGCTTACCGTGAGGGTGTCGTGGAGGTTTCTCAACACTTGCAAATCATTTCAGTCAAAGCGTAAACGAGCTTGACAGAGAAATTAAACGGTGTGAATTAAATGAAGGCTGCGGCTATTCGTACCCGGGTACCAGAAGTGAGAGGTTGGGATTAAAAAAAAAAATATTTAAGGTTTTATTGTTGGGTTTGTAAGACCAAATGAGGTATCAAATGAAAGATAATTGAATGGAATATATGTTTGTAATCTTACTTCTTCGGGTGAACTAAAAAAAACTACCACAAATGACATCCGAATAGCTACCCGGGTGCGAATGGCGGCGGTGAGTGTCTGGGTCCATTTTGACTCAGTGCTATTCGGATGTCCCAGCTTGTCTGTACCGTACTTAGCCAAACATTTACATGAAAATTTAAACATCATTTTAAAATATGTACACGTCAAAGCAATTCGATTTAACTATAATAAAATAAATACATTTTTGTTACTTAGCATTTATTGCTATAAGGATTTATTTTTCCTTTCAGGTTGATAGAAAGTAATAGGGTACTCTGAAAAAAATATAAACCTAAATATTAAAAATTTATGAAACGATCGGAAACAAAAACACCATTTTGGTATTATTTATTGAAAGCTACAGACAATCTCTCAGTTAAATCCATTAGATGTAGCAAGATACTTAAAACATTTGGAGGTGCAGCTTTACGCCTTCATACTCATTAAAGGCTTCATATTCCACTGTCTTGAAAGATATCGCCATTTCTGGTCCCGGTACTCCACGAGCATTGCTTTCTATGGCATCTTGTTATAAAACTTCCGCGGACACAGAAGATGAAATACCAATTTTAAAAAAAATAATTTAAAAAAAAGCAAATCAACAGACTATTTTTCAAGTTCAAATAGCTTAGCAGAAACAGTTTCTCGAATGGCAGCTTTAGATGGTCTTCCATTCAGCTTGATCATTAAGTCAAAATATCAAAGACGAATCATGAAGCAATGTGGTTACAATATGCCGACATCTTCTAATTCAATGAATAACATGGCTCCCAAGCACAGTGAGACTGTTGAAACCTCTTTGATTAATAAACTGCGTAAGCTGAAAGGAGAAAGTGTTAGACCGTCCCTGACAGAGACACGTGAGCTGATGGGTTAAATTGTCCTTGACACTGGATGAATGGACGTTTTAGGGAACTCGTCGATTCCTGAACGTAAACATTCATAGTCCTATGTTAATCAATGACTTTGTAAATCTTGGCCCAGTAAGAGTGATTGGCAGCATGCCGACCAGAACATGTTTACAATTGTTGGAAAACAGGCTATCCACTTTTGCTCTGTCATTGAAAGATGATACAATTTGTACAATTACTGGCGGTGCCAGTTTGGTGACTGTATTAGGACGCGAAGCAGCGCTTTACGATCAACATAGTCATTGCTCACGGTGTACAGCAGGCAATCTTAGACAACCCTTTTTAATAAAAAAAAATTGAAAACTCTTCAACTTCAACAACATCAACCTGAAGATGACAACGATGCTGATGATTCTGACTGTGATGATGATAATGACAAACTGTGGTTTTCATGTTACAGTTGACATCAATAAAAATAGTGATTTATTTTTTTTTATGTTAAAGATTTAATCGGGAAAGTGCGAAAAATTGCAAATTTTTTTTTAGAAAGTCTCTGAACGAATGGAATGTACTAATAACGTCACATTGGAGATAGCGTCGGTGGGTCATCGAGCGCGAGCTCTTAAATACCCCTCCCCCCCCCCCACCCTCACGGTACACCTCCACACTGGCCAGACGCTGGGTCTCCCCGCCGCCAGACCGTGTGGAATCACGCTGTGGACCTCCCCCACTCCCCCCTGGCCTGAGGTACATCTGGTCGTTTAAAGCGTTTGCGATTCACGGAAAGTCTCCTACCAAAAGTACGATTCTTCAGAAATCTGTATAGGAAGAAATTGGTCAGGAGCATGAGAACAATATGATTTTAGACTGCAGCACAATGTGGAATAGTTTATCAGACATGTGAGGAAGGAGAGCGAGACTAAAAAAATTATATTATAAAAACGCGCTTGTTGATTTAAAAATCGATCTTGACGTATCTCAAGATCAATTTGAAATACTGTTTAATCTCGGCAAAATGTTTGAAATACTGAAAGCAGCAGGTGAGGAACATTTCAAACGTAACGCCAACTTAATGACATCCGATGCAGCTTTGATGTTTATGTAAAATTAGATAACATGCATCGTGAAATAGTTGCATGGGGATTTGTTGTCTGTCTGAAGCGTCGGATTCAAGAGCGCAGATTGTTGATTGCCTCAACATTGCAATACTGGCATAACTTTAAGATGTATTTTTGATTCGTCTAATGACTACTTGGACGTATTTCTGAGGCCAGATTGCGACCATATGTCGAAAACATACCGGGGACTTTCCAAAGTTTGGTCTAGCAGCGAAATCCTCGTTGAAAATATCTGTGGACAATGAGACTGAACATCTTGGATCTGAGCAACCCACCTGAAGACACACTGGACAATGAGACTAAACACCTTGGATCTGAGTTTGACGCACCTGAGGACACACTGGACAATGAGACTGAACATCTTGGATCTGAGCATGACGCACCTGAAGACACACTGTCTGAAAGCGAGACATTTATGTTATTGTTAAAAGCTTAATAAAAATCAGAATGTTATATTAGCCTACGCTGAAAGTTTTATATGTTATCGATAAATCGTCACCTCATACCAATGAAAATAAAGAGAGAATAATGAATCTTTTCCAATTCAAAAAAAACAAAAAAAACAAACAAACAAAAAAAAAAAAAAAAAAAAAAAAAAATTTACAAAAAAAAAAAAAAAAAAAAAAAAAAAAAAAAAAAAAAAAAAAAAAAAAAAAGTTATCAAATGATTATTCTGAATGTTTATTTTTTTAATATTACTCAAGCTTTGTATTTATTAAAACTCATTTCTTTTTTATTCAGTTTTTTTTTAATGTCATTAGAAAAATTAAATACTTGTAAATGTTAACTATTCTTCTATCTATCTACAAATACAAATAAAATTGATATGATGTTGTTGAGGCTTATTTACTTATTTATTTAACGTCTTTTAACAAACCTGATTTAGCCTGATTTACGTGTTGTAATCGGCAACTAGTCCATGTGCCAAGTCTCTATTTGATAGGATGACGGGAAGCGGGTCAATCAGCCGTCAGAAGATTTTGCCACAAACACAAGAACGCAAGCGAAGCTAATATTAAGGATTTACAAACCACGCGCAGCATACACTTTAGCAGAAAAAACTTTTTTTTTTTTTTTTTTTTTTTTTTTTTTTTTGCTTTTTTTCACTATTCAAACAATTGTTCGACCCAAACTTAAGGGGAAATAAAGTTAGTAAAATCCTTTTGGCAGATAACACAATATTAAGACGTTTGTAAGACATGTCTGAATAAAATTAAACTGCAAATGATGGTGGTGTTGTTTTTAAAGATATTTTTTTTTCAAGTAGCCAGCCGATTGGTGGTGACAGACCTTTGTAAATTTGAGACTAAACGTATTTAAGGAAATCATGTCTTGAAAAACTATAGCTTGTATTTGTTCTTATAGTGTGGTTCACAAGAAATAGTAGAAGATAAAGGACGATATCTTTAAAAAATATCAACAGAACAGAATATTTCAAGTTGTACAAAACATTCAATTACAAATTTGGAAAACTGCTGTTTAGCTTTAAACATTTATTTCAAATTTTGTATCATAATATTTTGGTCTATAAATATCAAGGACAATTTACGGGAAATTCCTATAGTCATGTGATAAAATGAATGTAAACAAGAAAAGCTAGTGTTCTTTAAAAACTTTAGGAAGACGTTTAACTTAGAATTATATTTATTAAGCCCAACAACAGATATGACTATTTAATTTTAATAAATGGTTAGAACTAGACAGTACCCAAAATTAATCAAGATTTTAATATTTAAATAATTGCTCGAATTTAGTCATTTTAAATGGTGAGAATCATGTTCATTGAATCATTGTCACTGACTCATACTCATATATAGTATTATTATATAGTCATAGTCATAACATAAAACTATTCAAAATCAAAGCCTTGGTGGCCGAAGACATTTTTTCTTCACAAGTCTTGAAATAAACTAACGCTGTACTTGCTTACTTACTCCTTTGGAATAAGAAAGAGAAATTTTATGATTGGAGAAAATGCTTTAGCCTAAATGCAAGGAAATGTTTTAAAACATTATTGCGAAAGTAGGCCTCAATTAGGTTGTCGTGAAAGTTTTATGGCCAAGACACTGCATGATTGAATTATTTTTATTCTTATTACAATGATAATATCATGTCAAGGCTAAGACCTAAGAGACCAATCTCAACTGTCAATAGACAATAGAGGAAGTTACGTAGACGTAAGTTTCTAATTGTGACGTTAACTTTTGACCTTAGAGATTTTTATATACCTTTTTATTTTAAAATACTTAAATAAGGAACCTAAATTACATTAATAAATCATAAAATGTTAAGTTCTCAGAGATGTTGCATACCTGACCAGTCAGTGACTAGAAGCAAAACCATGGCAAGTAAACAAGGCTCTGATCAGATAGAAACAAGAGATACACGACCCTTGCTAAGAGAAGTTACTGAAAGAAATGGGTTTCCCAATGGTTAGTTGCTTCATTTTAAAATTTATTTTGTGTTCATAAATAAATATTTGCATGCTCTCATTAACTTCATCCAGATTATCATAGGTTGTCAATTAAAATCATAAGATATATTATTTTATCTCCCAGATTTGTAACCAAAAAATATCAAGATTCTCAGAGACTTTGTAAAATGGGTATTTCTTTAGTAGTCTTTATTGCATTGAGCATCTTTAAATTTAAATGGAACAACAAACTTCATTTTCAATTTTGTTTTTTTTGTTTTTTTACAGTTACCATAAAATTTTGTTGAATTTGTTCAATTCTTTCAATTTTCTTTCATAAATATGAGTTTTCCATATTTTGATTATAAATGCATAATTTAAGTTTCACTTGAGTGCCTTATTTTAACTCTTTAATGCACATGGTTTTACTCTCAAGATGTGCCGTAAGTTGATTGGCTGAAAATTACATTGAATTATTGTATTAACAAAGGTTACAAGGAAGGAAATAGTGAACAATATACGTTAGGCTTGAAATGAAATTTTTAAAAATTTGTCATGTCTTTTTAACTCTCCATATTTATTTCACATGGCTTTTTTTACAATACCTCCCAGTTTAGATATGTTTTCTGGGTTTGTTTGATATATTCTGTATTGGTGTAAATCAAAATTGTAAAAATATAATTTAATTTGTCCTGTTTGAATTACGATACCGTAAAATGTCTGGTTTATATTTTTAGTATCAGAACTTAAAAATATGAATTGTGTACCTCAGTAGCACCCCGTAAAACCTGCTTTGATATTTCCAAGTTTGAATGCTTAAAAATGGGGTAGGCCTAGTATTATAATTATCGCCCCTATGAGCTATATTAATTTTTTTTTCTAAAAGCCATCACATTTGGTTTAATGTTAAAGATAAATAAAATCATTGATTGCTGATAATATTAAATATGCATCCCAACTTTTAAGTGTTTAAATACATTTTTTTTTTACAATAAATCTCAGAGTCTGATGAAACCCCTGCGAATGGTAAATGGTGGCGTGAAGTACAACCATACAGTACATACGTCCTGTTTGTCCTTCTCCTTGCCTACCTCTTCAATCAACTGGACAGATACATGCTGGCCATCACAATTATCCCGATGGCTCAAGAGCTCAAGTTTGGTGATCAGGGATGTGTGAGAAATGAATCTGTAAAGACATTTGACCATCATATTGCCTGTAATGGTACCCATGAAGATAGGTATTTACATACTGAACCTTTAAAGCAGTAGAAGGTGTGGTCACTCAGGCTGTAAGGCTCTAGGTCTAGTTATTAGCGCTTTTTGGCTATATTGTGATGGTCCTGTGCTGAAGTTAAGTGGGTAGGTGTCAATTTAACATTATGCAATCAAACTAATTGAGCCACATAATATTTTAGTCTAAGTGAATGAAGTATGAATTAGTTGTAAAAAGTGGGACTTTCTCTAGTCAGGATTATCAAAAGGTGCTTGGTGCAGAATCCCAATTGGTGCAAGTTAACTTTGCATTAGCAGTAACAAGTAGCACCAACTTAACTCTCCACATTTCTTGATCTGTGTGTGTCCAATTATGAAATGAAACATAGTAAACTTGGAAGGAAATAAAAATCAAACATGATATGTATACAGCTGGGGACATTTTGTAGCTGTAGTCTTTACCTACTTTACCAATCATTGTCACACGTCAATTATTTAACCTAACGCTGTTTATATCTCCTTTAGCTGCCTGGACATTTTAAGCCCTAACCATACATCTGCTTGTAAATGGGACTACAATGGTCAAGGCTGGGACTATCAGATTCTTGCTGGTCCAGTCTTCATCCTCATCTATACCTTTGCCGGCATATTCATCGGCTTTGCCGCTGACATTTACAACAGGAAACTGATGCTGGCGTGCTGTTTGTCCTTCTGGTCAGCCATGACTCTTTTAACCGGATTAGTAACAGAGTACTGGCAACTTGTGATACTTAGGTTTGGCCTGGGACTTGGGTGAGTGAATTTTAACATGCATTTTTAATTCTCAGAAAAATGTTTTCTACCAGGGCACATAATGAAATTATAACATACAGTTTCAATAAAGATATTCTTGGTAAAAATCAACAGCTTCAATAAAACAGGATGTTTCTTTCATCCCAACACATGGTTGGGCTGGAGAGTAGAGAAACAGGAAGGGAAAGAAAAGAAAAAAAATTCTTACTTTAAAAAATTGTCTTGTTCGATCTATTTTTGTTAAATCTAATAATTACAGTAATGTATTTTTTTATAGTCCATTTAAAAAATCAAAACAATTTTAAATTTTAAAATATACAAGTTAATATATTAGTATTTTGTCCACGGCACCTGCAGGGAAGCTGGTTGCACACCATTTGCAGCGTCTTTGATCGCTGACTACTTCACACAGGGGATGCGTGGCTCGGCCATGGGCGTATATAACTTTGGCATTTACTTTGGTTACGGCCTGTCATATGCCCTGGGCAACTTCATAACTATTGCCAACATTAATGGACAGGTAATATAACGTTTTACAGCTCTTACTGATAAGAAAATCTTTACAATGGACAAAGCAGAGCATAAAAAGCATCCTGTGTTGACTTTGTAGATTTTGAAAGAAAAAAAAATTACTTGTTTATCCAAACTGATGAATCTGTGTTAAAAAAATAGAATTTTAACCAAGTTATTTGTAATTATTTTACAAAGAGCCTTATTAACTTATTTAATTTATATATAAAACCTAATGAAAAATTCAGTCATGATCAGTTATTTTTATTATTGCATTCCGTCTCCCTTTAGGGCTGGCGCTGGGCTTTTATTATTCCGGGTATTCCCGGCATTCTACTTGGTATTTTAATTGCTGTAACTTTACGTGAGCCCGAGCGAAGCACCAAGCAAGGGAAGAAGCAGCTTGAAGACTCCATAACTACTCGACCAGTCCATGAAGATAAAATCCCTTGGACAACTAGACTCGGCAGAATTTTTCAGACTTTCCTTAGCCCATCTTTGTTTTTGCTTTGCATGGCAGGCTCCATAAGGAATGCAGGTAACAATTTAATACGTTCACTGTGATTTTGCAGGGTATTGCTATTCAACTTTTTGAGCTGTTGAATAATGGTTTAATTTTTATGGCATTTTTACCACATCTATTGATGGCCATAAGGCACAGTTGTCAATAATTATTATGCTCCGTGCTTCTGCTGCTTGTTCAAATTATAATTTTTAAATCCTTTATGTTAACTTCGCTTTTGTTTGTGGCTGGCAAAATGTTCTGATGGCTAATTGACTAACTTCCCTTCAAGCTATCGAGCTGAAACTTGGCACATATACTCATTACAGATGACAACACATTCTTTTAAATTTTCAGCCCCATCCCCCCTTCCCAACCCTGAAAAATCAGTTTTTCCTGTTTTTGACGGGGAAGATGAAAGTAAATTCCCTGACTCTTAATAAAATCTATTGCAAGTGAGTTTGGTGCTTAATAATTTCTTTTCTTAATATAGCTCAGGGGCATGAAAAAGAGTGTGGTTGTGAGCGGGTGGGGTGGGGGGGGGGAAGCACTAATTGGGATTGTTATAAAGGGCGTTACTTGTATGCATGTTTTGTCAAATTTTCAGCCCCCCCCCCCCCCCCCCCCCCCCCCCCCCATGTCTTGATATTACATTTTATAAAGGATCTATACGCAAACCTTTGCTCTCGTGGGTTGTTGAATTTCTGTTGTGTAGGATCAAGTTGATTGCACTTGTAGTGGTCATGTTTTTATAGGTTTTTAATTAAGATCATTTGGCGTTAGGAACGGTTGAGGATGTAGGGTGAGAACCGGTACCGGTACATGTTGTGTCTGCAGATGTTAATCATTTTCATAGTCCTTTAGTGCAGGGGTCGGCAACCCTTGTAGTCATGATGTTCCCACGCGAGCTTTCTAATTCATTCAGCATCCTAACGAGTCTGTAAGTCTACCACATGGGTCTTCAAACTTTTTCGTCATGGGCACCTGTTCACTGTTACTTGGACGCTTGGAGGCCAGTTCTTTCTACCACAGACACTGTTGTGCTTTGTCGTAGGACTACCATAATATGAATGAATTCCTATGCACATTGCACATATTTTATTTGTAGGGAAATAAAACATAAAAATAAAAACACCACAATATTTAAAATGAAGAACAATTTTAAACAACATAAAGTTATTAGAGATTTCAGTGTGATTTATGGGGCAGGTAACAATGTAAAAATTATTATATTTCAGTGCGATGTATGGGGCTGGTAACAACATAAAAATGATTATAATTCAGTGTGATGTATGGGGCTGGTAGCAACATAAAAATGATTATATTTCAATGGGATGTATGGGGCAGGTAGCAACGTAAAAATGATTATATTTCAATGGGATCTATTGGCCTGCGTTTGGCTAGATAGATGATCAATGTCTGTTTCTATATTCATCACTGCTACCCAAGTATGATGGCCAGGTGGGCTGGGTTAAGTACCCCTTTGCGGGCCGGATCTGGCTCACAAGTCATAGTTTGAGGACCTCTTGTCTACGGTTTTATAAACATCTTCGAACCATTTATTATAATTTTTTTTTTTTTATTTCATATTCTGTTGAAAATATCGCAGCTGTAGGTTGTGACCCCTGGTTTTTAAATACCGGTATCATTTAATTTGTTTGTTTTGCTTGTACAGGCGGATATGTTTGGGCCTACAATACTCAACCTTACTTTGAGGCAACAAACGTCTCCAAAGAGACCGTCGGTTCCTACATGTCTTGGATCCCATTGGTTGGGGGCAGCCTAGGGGTCCTCTTTGGGGGTTTCATCTCTGACCGAGTTGTAAAGAGACGGGGGCTTTATGCCAGGATAATTGTTCTTGTTGTCAGCCAGGTAGGTGACCCGAGTGTGTATTTGATTCATTGGCTTTGTCGAATGCAGTTTTTGATAAACTAGACCTAAAGTTTGTGAAGTCTCCCAACCACATGTTGTATTTGTTAACTAAGTACATCTCATCAGACAATTAAATAAACTAACTGCGAGATAATAACATAAAAGAAGAACAACATGTGCCTTACTCTTAATCATTTGCATTGTGCTTTCATTTCATCTGATGTATTCACATACATATTGGTTTTAAATTTCAATTCAGCTGTAGCAACACTTTCAAATCTTTTACATTATAGCATATTTTATAACTCCTAGTTATTATTTGATTGTACATAGTATGTTATCTTTTCATGTTTCTTAAGTTTCTGGCCGCTCCATTTGCTGCTGGTGCCCTGTTCCTAGACGTACCATATGCTTTCATCAGTCTCATCCCAGCCAATATCTTGGGTAAGTGATTTGTTCATTCACTGTACATCAATAGTTTAACATAAAGCTACTGTATTTTTTTTTTTACATATAAACAAAAGTTACATATTGGAACTGCTTTGCGGTGCATTGGTAAATTATCAGCCAGCCTCATAACCAAACAGCAGGTTTGAATTCATCCAGGGTCATCCCCAAACAATGGGCAGTTGTGCTTGAAGAGGAGGTAACATTCCTCAACCAACGAGATCAGCAGCCAGGACCCAACAAACATAGACAGTACATTGTCTCTTTCATCTATTTCTTCGCATAAATAAAAAAAAATTTAAGTTATAATTAAAATATATAGGGTACATATAACTAGAGCATACCATTAGACATACGGCAAACAGTTAAACCAAAAAGTTACATTTGTTTTAATTTAAGCTAATAAGTAGAAACGATTTTGATCATATTGCACACATTTATTTTCATATATTGAATGAAAAACAAAGACAATAAACATTCTGATTAAGATATCTATTTTCAACTTCATACAATTTTAATGTTTCAGTTACACATTTTAAAAATGGTTTTCGATTGCAAAAAATCAGCCTTGGATTAGGCGCGGGGGGGGGGGGGTTGTCTAAGTATATGGATTTTAATGAATTGTTTCAATTTAAATCTGCCCAAAGATTAAATTCATCTTTGCTTTGGGCAGGATTGTTTTCGATTGCAAAAAATCAGCCTTGGATTAGGCGCGGGGGGGGGGGGATGTCTAAGTATATGGATTATAATGAATTGATTCAATTTAAATCTGCCCAAAGAGTAAATTCATCTTTGCTTTGGGCAGGATTGGGAAGAAGAAATTCATAAAGTCCCTATTAGATTTCCATTGATTTTCTCATGTTTACCTTATGTTACTTTTGATAACGAACCAAATAGGAGGGATTTAGTTTTTCAAAAAACCTCAATTCTTTAAATAAGAATTGAATTAGTCGCATTCATTGTATTAAGAGGCACATATTTTACACCAGAGAAAATAATGTGCTGCAACAACCTTTTCCATGATCACACTTGAAAAATTAATTTTTTAAACACTATTTCAAAATCAAACAGGGGAGATGTGGGTTGGCGTGACCCTGGCTGTTGTTGTGGAGCTAGTCCCAAGCCACATGCGTACATCGGCAGTCGCATTTTACTTGTTCATCATATCAAACATTGGGGGCAATGTGCCTCTCCTTGTGCCGCTAATAGAGAAATCGTTTGAAAACAATGGCTACACAAAGACAGAATCTCTCAGAGGTCAGTAGATAACTTTTAATTTCACAAACACATATCAGGCTAGACATGGTTATGCCATCTTTCCTGGCCCAAATGTAGTCTTCTCATGGAAACATTTTATGAAGTTATTGCTAAAATTTACTTTTTGTTAAATTTATGTTTATCTATTTAGTGTTCACATTTTATCTTTTTTTTCCTCTTCCAATTATTATTGTTTCATTTTCATGTCATTTTGTAAAAAATTAATAATCATGAAGCAATGCAAAAATGACTTTTTAAGCAATGGGTTTTGTACATAAATGAAACAATTCAGAAATAATTTTTTTATTTTTAAAATTGAGTAGATAAATTTTTGTTCTGCATGATATTTGTTTATTTGAAAATCTAATGAGACTAGAAGGTGTGTCAATTGAGGTTTGGTACCGGTATAAGAGAATGTGATTGGTGGAAATTCTTTGTGTGTTTTTATCACATCTTAATTCGTTATTGTATGATTGCACCTTAAGGGTACTTGTATTGCACATTGAACAGGTGTCCTTGTGTAGAATTTTAAAGAAAAATTTAATTAGGTCAAATTCTGGTTAATCTCTTTAAAATACCATATCTAAAGAAGAACTTAAGATGTGAATTGCACCTTCATGTGCACATTAGAGATAAAAATAAAGCACACTTCATTTTATCTCTCTCAGGAAATAAATGTCTGCTACTGGTTGTTTGTTAGGATAATAGCAATGTCCTGGCATCTTTTTTTGTTGTTGTAGAAAACCACTTCAAACTTCAATTGGTACTGGACAATCATTTTAAAAAACAAAAGATATTAATGGCGGGTTTTTAATCCATCTTCCATCGCATTTGAAAGAGTTTAATATGTTAAGCAGTGTGAGGTTACAGATAAAGAAATATAGGACATCATGGCATTTGTTATGATTTAGTCATTTTTTCTTGCCCAGTTTGAGCCAATTTACTGTTTGAGATCCCCTGTATCAAAGAGTGTTGCTGCTTTCATTCATTGTTCTAGACATGCCAATGCATTTGCATAAACCAAGACAGTGATGTAAATGGGTGTCAGGCAACTACAGGGTGACTGATGATTTTAACCTGGGGAGCCTTGATTCTCATGTTTCGTTCAATCCTCATTTGAAAAAAAAAATTGTTGGCTCCTGAGAAACAGGGGTCCTAAATTATGTTTGTATTTGTCCACCCCTGGATGTAGATAATGATTTGATGGAAGTCATAGCAGTGTAGATGCTGTTAGATCAGACTGTCAGGGTTCTTCTGACTGCCCCAGTTAATGATTTAAGATGCTACTATCCAAAAGTAGAACTACCATTTGAAAGTAGGCCCTCTAGGCCTGTTTGAAACAAGGCTAACTGTTTGTCTGAAGTAGACCTTCTGTTTGAATGTAAAATAAAATGAGTAAAACAGAGTTAAACCTGAAAAAATAAACGCAACAAAACAGTGAACGTGTCGGCAGAAAGCCTTCGTCAACGGACAAAACAACAGAAAAAACGGTATAAAAATAAAAATAAGAAATAGCACTTAGCTGGTAAGTAGTATCTGTGGGCAGCAATAGAAGTGTGGCAGAAGGAAAGTAAATGAGAGGTTAAATATGCAACGGCAAAAAAAAGGGATCGAAAAAACTTCAATGTGATAGGTCAGAACGTGGAGGGGCGGAGCTAGGGTCAAGCTGTGAACAGAGACATAAGATTAATCCCATCTGGCGTCAAAGTGCAGTAAGTCGGGATAAGCCTGTGTTCCAAATTGTAGACCTACTGTTTGAAACTAGGCCTACTGTTTGTTCGAAAGTAGGTCTACCGATTGAAAGTATTTTGTACCGGTACGACCTGTGTCTCTTTCATTCAGCACTGTTGCAAAGCACTTCGCTAGACCTACACATCATTATATTCCACAGGCGCCCTGTACATCCTCTACCCTGGCCTCTACATTGCTGGGGGTCTCCTGTTCCTGCTGACCATGTTTGTCGTCAAGAGAGACCAGCGGCGGGCCCAGATGGAGGTTGTCAACATGGAGGAACCCTGAGAGATTACTACCTCTTGTTGTTTGTTGTTTTTTTTTTTTTTTGGTGGTATTGGGGGGGGGGGGGGGGGGGGGGTGTGGGGGGGGTTGGGGTGGTTTTACCTCCCAGAATGGGAATAGTTTAAAGCCTGCAGCTAGTTTCATTGACTTGATATATTACTGCCAGGGAAAGGTTGGGACCTCTGCTCTAGATGGGACGAATCTCATTCATAAGTCACGACTTTCTTGTTGACAAACATTTGTTCATGGTCTTCCTATATCTGAAGGCCTAATACTGTAGCACAACCTGCTCGTCTAAGATTTCTTCAGGCCACTTCAGTTGATGCTTTTATATTTAAAAAAAAAAACTGATCTCCTCCACTTTAAAAGGCATTTGGTTATATAATGTAATATTAAATCAATGGAGCTCCAGATAAGACAGATACCACAGATAGTTCAGATACTACGGGTAATACAGATTGCACACTTGCTACAGGTAGTACAGACTACAGATAATACAATAAGATACAGATTGTACAGATAATACAGATTGTACAGATAATACAGATAGTACAGATACTCCTGATAGTAAATTATTTCTTTAACAAATATTCTCGGAGGCAACAATGCTTTTGTTTGGGCTTTATGAAAAAGAATTCTTGTGTAAAGCTAATTGTTTATTTATTTTTTTTTTTCAATTTGCTATGTTATTAACTTTTTGTGGTTTTAATATCTATCACTTTTTTCCGATATACATGGATTACGATATATATGGATTACGATATATATGGATAACGTCTTTGGATTATTTTGTAAATTTGCTGGATTGAAAATTTAGCTTGCCCCCCCCCCCCC